TTTGGAGATTGGAATTCAAAATGCATGGATGATGAAAGGCCATGCAGACAATAGATTTGAGTGAGACAGTGCACTCACCCCTTTGGATTTTTGATAAAAAAAAATAGTTAATTGGATGGGCCCCAAACCCTAAATGCATGGTGGATTCAATAACTTGTGGTACCCAATAAGTTGTTTAATCTAATAATAATAGCTATGAGCTGTATGGTATTTTTGGGTTTTTAATTCTTTTCATTCACCTAACATGTGATATACCTTATCTTTCAACTAGAAAAACAAAAAATTAATAAATATAAAGGACTGTCTATTCATTTTAATAGTAGAGAAGGATGGATATAGTAGAATTTAACATCACAAATTTGAGCAAAATTTCCAACTTGTCCATTTTATTGTTTCTTAATTTCTTTTGGGCTTTTGATTTGGGTCCAACTTCTCTTAAGTTGGGAGAGACGATTCGACCATGTTGTTGTGCGTTTTGGTCCCATCCTATTTTGAGAATCTCTTCCATTATTTTTTTAAGTTTTATTATAGAACATTCATTAGAAAGAAAATTAGAGTGATTTGATTATTGTAGTCATATAATTTTATTTTTTATTTTTCTAAAAAAATTGGTGAAATTTCAAAATAGACTGTTGAAATTTGTTTATATATATATTTAAAGTTTGATAAGATCATATAATATAATTATCAAATTCATTTGATTATTAACTTTTTTATGCATAATTTATGCATAAAAGACATAAAAAAATAAATGAGACAAATTATCAAAATGGACCCCTGATGACACACAAGAGCCAAACAACAGAAGCTGGATCACATGAGGAGTTAGCATAGCTTTCTCTGTTGATAGAACTTTCCAATTCGAATGATTTGCAGCATATTAAAAACTTTAGGCTTTCGTTTGGGAAGCAAAAGTTGAAGTTTTTTTTTAGCTATTTTAATCATAAAAAATAAAATAAGTTTTTTAATCTAATAAAATAAAATATCATATCCAACCCATAATTATTACATTCTTTCTCTCACAAAAAAAAAAATCAAAAAGCCTAAAGCCCTTTCTAAATTAGGCTTTTTAGCCTCAGGCTAAAATAGCCAAAAAATTAAAAAGCCAACTTACTTCCCAAACGAACCATGACTTATTTGATTTTCATTTTTCTTTTTTTTTCCTTGAGCATTGAATCTTTAATTATTATTATTTTTTTTTAAAATTTTCTCATAGTTTCAACATTTTGTCTTGGTTTCATATACGGTCAAGCACAAGTTCAAAGCCCAATGGACTATCTCACCACCTCAATAAAGTGAAAAGTTAAAAAAGAAAATACAATTAATCTCACAATTTTAATATAATAATATTATACTGATTTCTCTTTTAATATGATTAAAGTGACTAAAATTAATACAAATGATGGGTAGATACTCAAATAAGTAAAGATAGAATACAAGTTGAAAATAATGACAATATTATTTTGTTTATTCATGCGACTAATGAATTCCTAGGTGCGATTTCAAGCAGCTTGGAAAGCATGACACTTGATTCTTGACACCAGTGGACAGTAAAGTCCAGGGAAACTTTGAGATCGGCGAGTTTGATCTCGAACAGAGGGGCACAGATGAACGAACAGTGTAGGTTCTATCACCTCAAAATGCCGAGGTAATAGAACCTAGGGGACAGTTGTGGGGATATATTTTCTGAGTACCAACACGTGGCAAGGTGACGCCGACGTGTCAGCCGAGGTGCCACGTGTCCTGATCGAAACGCCGAGGTGATCTCGACAAAGCCGATGTTATCTCCGAAGATATCGGAATCCGAGATAAAGCAAATAAAGGACAAGAGTCCTAAGACGAAGAGGGGACTTAACCAAGATAAGGATAAAGCTCTTAGGGAGTTTTATCTTTATCTCTTATAGAGTCCAGAGTAAGCACTAAATTGGAGTTCATAGAAGTCATACTTCTAGTAGGACTTGGATTGAGTATATTATAAAAGAGAGGCACCCCCGTGGGTCTAAGGTATGCAATTTATGTTTTGAGTATTAAGTTTTGCACTTGATTATCTTTGAGAGATATACTGACTTGATCGTCGGAGTGCCCCCGGGTAGAAGAACCACCGCCGGAGCCTTTTCTTTCTGTTTCAGGTTGCTGAAGCCATCTATTCTGTCTGTGCTCTTCAGTTGATCACTAAGCAGGTAGTGTGGTCAGATTTTCACCCACACACTTCCCATTCTTGCCCTTACTTACAAATAGACTTAAAATAAAATAAAGTTTAATTTACTTTTACGGGCTTAAAATGTGATTCTAAATTTTACAAATCATGAACCGGAATGGCGGGCATTTAGGTTCATGTCCACCCTAATATATATACACGCACACTTATACTGGTGTAAATAAAACATAGGTGTATAGTTCCAAACAAATAGAGAAAAAGCTAATTACTGTCTAATAAGTGTTACTTAATGTAAATAAGGAAAATGTATAAAAATACTTTAAAATGTGTAAATTATGTATTGAAGGTGTTTTTTTGGCATTATTTTATCTTTATGTATTTTTCCAAACCCATCCTTAATTATTAGCAGAGTTACAATTGCTGAGACTAATCTGTAAGTTTAAAATATAATTTCAAACCCTCTATATCATAAACTAGTTTGGCAGGCATTCGGTTGTGTTTTCTCGCTAATATATATATTTTGTGAACATATAAAATATACATGTTGTGCATATATAGCTAAACAGTAAACATGGAAGATGGGGCCTATGAAAATCTTACACACTCAAAAAAATAAAATAAAATAAAAAATAGTTGAGACTGTTGGGAATTTGTGCTGGAAAAGGTGGTTAGGTTTTTGGTTTTGAAGGATTGAAAGGTTGAATGTCTGTTATGACAAAAAAGATGCTTCAAGAGATCCTTATGTCACACCAAACTAAACTGTGAATACACACACACATATATATAATGTTGATTGGCCAGGTGAATTAGGGTTTTTATTAAAGAAAATACTGAAAACAATCCTAAAGATTGTTGTTAGTGTTGAAAATGCATAAAAAAGGTATTAAAATATATAAAAATATTTTGAGATATGTGAAATGTATAGTTACTTCATATCCATTTTTTAGATCTAATGATGTATAAACAAGATGATTAGTTGATGATTAGAGAATAAATGATAGAAAGAGTTAATTTAGATATTTTAATAGAGTGTCATATCATTGAGTCTAATTTTTAGGTTTGAATTGCAATACGCATTAAATATTGAGTGAATTGTGGAAATTGAGTATATGCTTAGAAAAAAGGGGGAACAAATTGTTTTCTTAGGAGATTCTAAAACAAAATAAAACTTTATGATTTTTTTAAAACTGAGACTTTACATCACTGGCACTTGAATGTCCCGTTCAAAAGTGGATAGGTAATACTAGAGGCCTCAAATTTTTTTACCAAATGTGTGGAACTCATATCATGTGGGTTCCATATGGATCCTACACCAATGTGAGACATTTAGTAAAAATTTTAGTAGAACTTTTGAAATTTTTAGCATTTTTGACAAAGAAAAGATGAGAGATTCGTTGGAGAATTTATATCATTTGGGGACCATCGTTCTCTTTTCATTCAAAGTAAAGGCCTTTTCCTTTTTGTTTTCTCCTCTCCCCCTCTTTCTATTTAACACTTTTATTCTTTATGATTTATCCACCTTTTCCACCATGCTCAACCAAACATGGGAAGGGAAGGGTGAATTCCTTTCCACACATGCCTCTTCAACTTTCTTACTTTTCTTTCTTTCTACTTTTTCATCTCTTTTACCGAACATATAGAGATAGTACTCAAAATTTAACAATATTAGGACATAAGGTTTAAAATTTTTACTAACATTTATGGCTAAAGAAATTTTAAGATCAAGAGTACTATGTTCCTTATAATTTTGGAAATTCCAAGTTTAGAAGAATAATCAAAGTTTGGACTTAATAGAAGATATCAAATTTTGGGTTTAAATGATATTTTAAGGACATTTTAGGTAAAATACATTAATTTTCATATTACCCATGGGAAATAAAATGATTCTCTTGAAAAATTGATAGGAAAAAAATAAAAAATAAAAAAAAATTATTTGACAATCTCTTTAGGACCCGAGATCTTTTGTACTAAAATTATGTCATTTTAAATTTCTTAATGACTATAAGTGTTTAAGGTAAGAAAATAAAATAAATTAAGAATAGAGAATTCTCATCACCGTTATTCTTATTAATGGCAAAACCCAATTAAAAAAGGAGACGAATTGATTGAGATTAGGATTGTTTAAATGACTTAAATTGGAAATGGGATTCAATTAGCAAAGTCACCTCCTTCTTCTTCTAAATATATTTTAATCTTTTTGTTTCTGAAAAAAAAAAAAATTATATATATATTTTGGTTATCTCTACTGTACCTCTGGGTGGGTACAGTAGGTAGAGGTCAGCACTAAAATCGCTTTAATTCATACTCAAGTGCCATCATCTAAGGCTCCGTTTGGTAAGGGTTTTTGTGGCTATTTTAGTCACAAAAGACAAAATAAGATATTTTAGTTACAACAAACAAAACATCATATTCAACCCATAATTATTACACTATTCTCTTACAAAAAAAGTTAAAAAAATCAAAAAATTCTTCCTAAACTAAGCTTTTTAGCCCAAATTAAGTGTGATGACTTTGCGTTCCCTGTTCCAACTTGGTGGTTCGACTGCTGAGGACCTTGCCTGGGTTAAGGTCTTACAAAGCCTGAGATATCTTTTATTTTTTGAGCAAAGATCTTCTCTTGACCTTCTCTATTTGACCTTCTCCTTGTAACGATCAAGATTCACCTTAAGAAAATTTAATGGCTCAAAACACCCCCTCAAAAAAATTACTTTTTAATTTTTAATTTTTTTTTAATGATGTAATCTGAGCCGTCAGATTCTCTTCTAACTGTTGCAAGAAAGGGCTAAGTAAAGAAGGCAGGGAAGAATCCTTGCTCTTAATTTTTTTACCCAAAAAAAAAAAGAATAATAGGCTTTCATCAGCACTTTGGATGTTGAGTCTGCTCATATGATTATTATTGTGTGCATTCAAATCCCCCTCTCTCCTCTCATCTTCAAATTTCAATCATTAAAAATAGCTAACTTCTGTCTTCTTCTGTCTGCTTTTTGGCTTTGGCACAACAAACACACCCATCAGATACATAGAGAAAGAGAGCAAAACCCAAGAATATTCAAAAATTCAAATATAGCTTCGAAGATTTAAATCATGTAAGCCTATCTCCTTAGGCTTCAAAGATTGCTTGCTCTCTCTGTCCTTTTTATTTACTCCATCCACTCTTCAGATTTCTCTATTTCATGTCTGTCTGCTTGAACTTGAAGAACATAGGAGAGAGACAGGGAGAGGAAAATAAAAAAGAAAATGAAGCTTCCTTCTTTTGTGCTTCTTTTGCATGGACCCATTTGGAGTTTTGTTCACTTAGTTGAGGAGGTTGATGCCAGACCAGACCCTCTTGTTTCTTCTCTATCTGTTCCTCTTTCTTCACCTTCACCAGCACCACTCACACCTATTCCTCCAAACTTATCATCAATGGTGGCCTTCTCTCCAGGTACCCTCTCTCTCTCTCTCTCTCTCTCTCTCTCTCTACCCTTCGGAGCTTTCAACCCCTTCTCTGTCCACTTAATTGTGGTTCTTTTGCAAGTCCTCCTCATCATTCAATTGATTTTTTGTTTTCTAATGATGGGTCAAGGGTTGCATCAATTTTAAATTTTAAAATTTCAAAATTCAAACACTACTCAGAACAATCATATTCACAACATTTAATGCAGTGAACACATTTTTTATTATTATTTATAATTTGATGATTATGTCCACTTATTATTGGGTTATGATTTAAGTCATCATTTTTTCTTCTCTTCTTTAATCTTCAATTTTTTAAAATTTTATTTATTTATTTATATATATTTGACATTGCCCTGAATTTTTCTTCTATAAATTGGTTATGTAATCAGGGAGTCAAGAGGGAAGTGAAAATCATCACCAAATGGATCCAAATAAAAAACTGCTTATAGCACTCATTGTTGCCTCTACTGCATTGGGTGCAATCATATTGTCTTTAACATGTTTGTGGATTTACCAAAGAAGGAACTCACTCAAATCCCACAACGAAAATCCATATAACTCAGGTAATTAATTCATTTCCAGCAATACCCATTTCATTTTTCATCCATCTAATTTGTGGGTCTCAGTCAAATTTACATCAAACATTTTGTATTGTGATGTTTTGAAGATTCCCTAAAAGGTTTTTCATTAGCTCCCCTTATAGGTAGTAAATACAATTCCTCGAGGATGAGAAGTAACAAAAGAGCTGTATCTTTGATGGATTACAAATCACTCGAAACCGCTACAGAAAATTTTCAAGAAAGTAATATTTTGGGGGAGGGTGGTTTTGGTTGTGTTTACAAGGCCCGGTTGGACGACAATGTTGATGTGGCCGTGAAGAGACTAGACGGTGGAAGTCAGGATTCCATAAAAGAATTTGAGGTACCATTTGTCATGAAAATTGTGTTTTTGTTTTCATTTTCAAGGCTTAGATGTTTGTAATTGTAACCAAAAAAAAAAAAAAAAATTGTTCTTGAATTTTCATTTGGAATTGCAGACTGAAGTGGATTTATTGAGTAAAATTCAGCATCCAAATGTAACTTCTCTCTTAGGTTATAGCATTCATAGCAAAACAAGGCTTCTTGTGTATGAATTGATGCAGAATGGATCCCTGGAAACTCAATTACATGGTAATTTTTGTTTTTTTTTTTTCGTTCTTTAGATAGAGTTTAATTCTAAAAGTGATTTTTTTTTTTTTTGCTCTTTTTAATTTAATTGCTTTCAGGACCTTCTCATGGATCAGCTTTAAATTGGCATCTTCGGATGAAAATCGCTCTTGACACAGCAAGGTGAGTTTGTGAAATCCACTAGGGTTAAATATTTGGGCAAATTACAAACACCTCCCTTGAGATTTGGTGAAAATACGGATTCTCTTTTGAAGTTTGAGAAATTACATCCCACTCCCTGAGGTTTATATTTTCATAACAAATTGTCTCCTGAAATTTTTATTTTCATACAGATTCCCCCCTAATTTCTCCTAATTTGTTATGAAAATTTGACATTCAGGAGGCAATTTATAATTTCTCAAACCTCATGAGGGAATCTGTATTTTCACCAAACTTTGAGGGGGGTGTTTGTAATTTGCCCTTAATTTTTAGTTTGTATTATACTACTATTAGTGCCTCTATTAATACATTTGCGAGTGTTTGACCAGAGGATTAGAATATTTGCATGAGCACTGCAACCCACCAGTGATCCATAGAGATCTGAAATCATCTAATATTCTTCTAGATTCCAACTTCAATGCCAAGGTAACAAAAATAAAAAAAATAAAAAAATAAAATATGGAGTTTTTTTCTCTCTCCTCCAACATTTATACTAAAGCATTGCTCTATCACTCTATGTTGTGTTTGGATTCAGCTTTCGGATTTTGGTCTAGCAGTAACTAATGGGAGCCAATACAAGAAAAACATCAAGCTTTCAGGCACCCTAGGCTATGTAGCCCCTGAGTATCTATTGGATGGTATGCAAACAATTTTTTTTTTTTTTTTGGGTCCCTTAAATACTAGAGATTGGCAATCATGTTCTGGAATATTCTTGATTTTGATAGTCGTATAAAAACAATATGCATAGGATTTAAGTAGTCTTGAGGACATAGCTGCACATGTATTGTCACTGCATAGCAGTGGGAGACTAATAATTGTGTGGATTTAAGAAAACAAAAAAACAAAAAACTCTAACACTGTTATGCACATGGTTGGCCTCATATAAATGGAAACATATCATCAATGATCTGGATGTTGATTTCATCGTTTCCTGATTATGTATGTGCTTGCTTACTAACATCAAAGAAATCTAAGGCATTACAAATTTATATATTTGAGGTGTGCTGAATATTTTTATGAGGGATGATTAGTATTTATTTACATGAAATGGTGAACATGACAAATGCTGCCTACTAGGAAATTAGTGAACATGTAAATCAATTTTGATAAGACTCGAACCATTTTGTTGGACTGATTGGGAGATGGCTTGACCTAAGAGTAAGACTTGTCATTAGTGTCCTAGTTGCACATATTTAAGTCACAGAAACAACCTCTCTAGAAATAGAAATAAGGTTGTGTACTTCTTATCCTATCCGGACCCTACTTTACTAGGAACTTCGTGCACTAGGCCGCCTTTGGAAGAGGATGCATGTAGAGGCTAATTCACCATGTCAAACATATTGGGTCCAATCCAACCACATTTAAAGCATCTCAAGCTCAAATACATTTCACATTTCTGTCATCTGCTAAGAAATGAACAGTTCTCTTCTTTTTTCTTTTTTTTTTTATTTTTCTTTTTTGGTATAGGTAAATTGACTGATAAAAGTGATGTATATGCATTTGGGGTTGTGCTCTTGGAGCTTCTACTGGGAAGAAAGCATGTTGAAAAACTGGCACCAGCTCAATGCCAGTCCATTGTCACATGGGTATGCATGCCTTTGCTCTTTGAATAATCCCTAAATTGTGTTTGGATCATGGATTTAGGTAGGAATTTAGCAAGAGAAAATGTGGGTGAAATATGAATGAAATACAACTACATTTCATCCACCTAACCTTTTCTCTTTTCTTTTCCAAATCTCTATCCAAATTCATAATCCAAAAATAGTCTAATTGGTCAAATTTATTTGGATATGAAAACCTTATTATTAGAAGGTTTTTAAAATTTGAAACTCAAATGCTACCTCTCTATTTATGACTATGCAGGCCATGCCTCAGCTCACTGACAGATTGAAACTCCCCGACATCGTCGATCATGTGATCAGAAATACAATGGATTTAAAGCACCTATACCAAGTTTGTGAACTAAACCACAATTCATATCCAAATATAATTTTTTATTTTTTATTTTGACAAGGCTTTTCTGGAGTATGGGTTGGGAGTTCCTAGTGTCCCATGTAGTGTCAGCATACCAACCGACCTGTGTTAAAACCATTGAAACCTACATTGCTTTATATTAATTTTTACAAAACTTGTGATTGTAAAAATTTTAGTACCATGGTACTACAGAACCCCGTTGCAACTCATATTGCAAGAAATTCCTTTTCTTTCTTAAATTCAAAACTGAGTGCAATGTGATGGATCTGAATAAATTAAAATCAGACCCAACCCGACCCGACCCACCAGAGCCCTAACTTTTGTGGTTACTGAGGTTTTAATTTGTGTAGGTTGCGGCTGTAGCAGTGCTATGTGTGCAACCAGAGCCAAGTTATCGGCCACTGATTGCAGATGTTTTGCATTCTCTCGTCCCTCTTGTTCCCGTCGAGCTTGGAGGCACACTACGAGTTCCACAACCTGAGTTTCCGGTGGATGACACAACAGTCCCTTCCAGTTGCTGATACTGTGTTTGGAAGTTTTGAATGTGTTTTCACTTCTCAGTTTCAATAATTTCTTAGTAGGATCATGTTAATGAGGAAGATCAAAATACACCTTGTAGTACACTTACACAAATATGATTGACTATATATCAAAAGGAAAAATCAAATAAATTATATGAGTTTTATCTGTTGAGTTTTCTAAAAATATTTTGAGCCGTTCAAATTTGAATTATGGCTAGAATCACTTCTATTTTTGGTAAACTAATTTGGAGACAATTTCATCCAAGTACACCCCGTAAAATAAAATTACCATCAAACACAATTACCATTAAGGACAAATTTCCAAATAATTATAATTCTCTCTACACCCACCAACCACGCGAAGAAAGTGAAGAAAAGAACAGGTGTCAAGTAGAGGAGGGGAGGCAAAATTGTGACAGTCGAAGGTGGTGGTTGGAATGAGTGTGGGTCTAGAGTTTAGAAGGTTACGGATGACGAGATATTTAGAATTAGCTAAGTCTTGAAGAAACAAAAAAAAAAAAAGGGGTTAAGATTTCATTTCCTTTTTTGGTTGTGTACTTAAAAGGTGGGTGTACCTGGATCAAATTGAAATGCATTCAAAAGCTCCCAAACTTAAAGAGGCTCCTGAAAACTTATAATGTGTTCGAGGAGGTAGAGCCCAAGAAATGCTACATAAAGATTAGCTGCAAGAAGTCAACATTTTCTTAAAGAACACCTGTTTTCAGGGAATGAAATACACAGTTACAATATTGCCTCATAAAACTTCAAAACTTTAGCTTCGGTTTAAAAGGCAGACATATATATTATTACAAGATTTTGACAAAATTGTTTTCAATTAACTAATGGCAAACAAATGGGCTCACCGAAAATTCCAACGGTTCGCTCTAATGTGTATTATCCCATGATATTCATCTCTTTTCATTTGACATTATGAAAAGAATCAATGATGGCATCTGCAAGATATTCGGATTTGGCTGATGATAATCCCGCCAAGGATATTCTCCCGTCTTTGGTCATGTACACATGCCACTTAATTGTCATGTTGTCGCTCTGATCATATAAAAGAGAGAAACAAAATGATTAAAAAATTGTATATTGAAATCTAGAATCGCACAATCAAGTGTTGCTTTGGAATGACTTTAAATTACATATCTGCGAAGACTTGGTTATGATTTCAGTATCAAGGAATTGTTTGGTGCAAGTCATTTATTAGGAACTTGTAAGTTGTTTTTTTTTTTTTTTTTTTTTTTTTTTTTTTTTTTTTTTTTTTGTGAAAATGGGTAAAGGCGATGTAATAGCAAAACTAAAAAATATTTAAAACAATAGTCTGGAAGTATGTCGAAGATTATTCTACCATTTTAAAAAACTTTCTGAACAATTTCGGATTTATTGATTTAGAAGACATAATTAAGAAGACAAACTTTTATAAATAATGCTTAAACAATATGGAGAAAAGCTGATGTAAGAATTGTAAAGATACTTTTACCTGAGTTTGGTTCAGGCCTGTGAAAGAGAACATGCCAATCTGCTTGAGGATAAATGACCAATCCTTCCCACTCTTGTCCTTTGCAGAGAGACTGTCAAATAGTATTTGTCTCACAATTTTTATCCGACCAGCCATCATTTCCATCTCCTCTTTCCATTCATTGAAAAGAGTTGGAGTCCCAACAACATTGGCAACAATCTTAGCCCCATGAATGGGAGGATTTGAGTACATGGATCGAGCAAGCCTTTTCAGTTGGCTCTTTACCCTGCATGTAAGAAAATATATCAAATCTCCTAGCCATTCACAATGAGATTGAAGAGAAGTAGATACAATTGCAGTCAAGGCAGATAATATTAGAGATAACTTTGCTCCATTACATTAGAGATGTGTTTGGATCTTGGATTTGTGCAGGGTTTTGTGTACGGAAAGGAAAAAGGATGGGAAAAAGTGAATGAATGCAAGTTATTTTTTCAGTTTTTCCTTACTTTTTCCTTTCTTTTAACAAACCCTCCACAAATTGCAGATCCAAACACAGCCTAAAGAGAGCAGCTATGTCTTCTCTACTTATTGCTTACCACTCTTTGGAACAAGATTATTTTATACAGAGGAAAATGATACTTCAAGTCTAGATGCAGAACTAAACAATAATTCCCAAACTTTCTTAAATTCTTGTTTATCTGCTATTGACAAATATAATAATCTATCCAGATGCTGTTCCATCTAGGAATACGTAGTGTTTTTCCAGTAACATTTTCTGGTGAGTTGTTTATAACATTCATTCATTCTTCTCTCTGACGACATTGTGGCAGATTCTTTAACAAAGTTGGAATTTAGATTGTTTGCTTAGGAAAGAATGCAAGTACAATGAATTCAAATCGGTACGATACAAGTTTCTGGACATTATCTCTTTTAAATCTTCACTTAAATATGCTTCTCTAATTGCAAAGAAACCTTCTCTTGGAGAGAGATTCATGGCAATCGTTTGCAGCCAATCAAATCTTGACTTCAAATGAGGTTAGAGACAGGAAGGGAGAGAGTCAACCACTGAAATTTACATTTTATGACGGACAGGTTGTTCCCATTTAAAATTGAAACCATAAAAAATGGCGATGATGGAACCATAGTGAAAAAGACTTGAGTGCGGAATTGGTTGTATGGAGAAAATTAATTGGTGAGTTCAGGAGTTCATGTGATATGATGCAGGCAATTCGTTATGTTGCAGAAAGTATCAGTGTGAGACATGGTATTGAAACTGGGTTCTTACGGCTGTGATAGATGTGCATGACATGAGGTATTTAGGAGTGACAACAATAAGAGACCAGCAAGATTGTGGGTAGCTTTGTAATCTTAAACAAAATGGATAAGAAATATTTTATAGTGGAAGACTGATGAGAGTGTAAATAAGGAGAGGGCTAATGAGATGATGGCAATTTCATCTCAATGAACTTCCTCATTTTTTTTTATCGGCAACAAAAGGAGTTTGATTGATGAATAAACAGGGAAAAACAAAAAGAGGACAAGATGTCCTCTACAAAGAAATAAGCCATTACATCAAAGAAACCAAAAAGTCCCCTAAACATTGCAAACCACTTTCCAATATCTAAAATAAGAAGCAACGAAACCCCTTTATACGAAGGGGAAGTTGATGAACAATATAATGAGCTGAAATTGTTACTTCCTCTACTAAATCTTTGTCAAGAAAATGAAAAAAGAAAACAATTCATATGTGGTAATAATAATTATAACAACAAAATAATAAGAAAATGATCCTCTTCTTCCATATGCACAGAAAATCTAGAAGTAAAAGATAATAGCCTATCTTAAAAAAAATATATGAATAACCAGGAATTCATATTTTTATTTGGGTAAATTACAAAGATACCCCCCTAAGGTTTGTCAAAAACACAAATTCCCCTCTCACATTTTAGAAATTACAAATATCCCTTTATCAAAAAATTTCTTGCAACCGACCTAATAGAAAAAAATAAAATTACCCAACTAGCCTTTAATACTACAAAGAAATTATCATACTACCCTCATTTTCATCCACCACCAAATTCCTCTCTATACCACCACAATATTCTCTAACCCTCCTTGGTGACACACCAAATTCTTGTGTACAATAATGATGGTGGTGCTGATTTTGAGTGGGAGAGGGTGGTGTGATGGTTGGGCAAAGTGATGTTACTAGTTCAGAGAAAATGGGGAATAACGAAGGTGGGATAGGAAAAATAAAAAATAAAATAAAATATTTAACTTCATAAAGGTTAATATCGGTATTTTTGAAAAAAAAATTGTTACTTATGTCATACACAGTGTTAGTCTGACTTAACGATTGATTAACAGAGGGGGCCATTTGTCATGTGATTGGAAACCTCATGGGGTGGAATGTAATTTCTCAAATGTGAGGGGGAAATATGTATTTTAATAAACCTTAGGGGGTCTATTTGTCCAACATTTCATGTTTGTCCAAATGTGAAACTTTTGTCAACAAAATATATAGAGTGAGGCCATCAAACTAAGAACTCTGATAACAAGAGCATTTACACAGGCAGCCGAGCCTTCTGGGATCCTAAATGGGTATGCGGTTTACCAAAAGACTACTGCTAAACAAAGCAAACTAACACTGTGAGAGCAAGAAATATGATGAGCACACAAACATGGTGGTAAGTTCTACATGGAAGGAGAAAATATTTCCAACCTGATTGTCTCTGTTAACTGGCTACGCTTGTAGCTTCATGAATCTTAGACAGAACATGTCTAAAAGGCTTGCTACTAAATCACAGATCACAAGATGTTCGAGAATGTGACAGTACCTTGTTGCAGCATCTGCTGATGAGCAGAGAACGTTGATTGCTCCAATCCTTTCTGCATAAAGACCCAAATTTTTACTGTACGACTGAGCAACTAGGAGCTCCATACCACGTGCAGCAAACAACCTCACTGAAGATGCATCTGCATCAAGGCTTCCGCTTGCAAATCCCTACAGTACAATTATCAGTTTAGATACCAAACATCTAGCAATATGCAGTCTGCTGCCTTTAAGAAGCTCAAGGAATGGTAAAGTACCAGAACAGAAACTTTGAAAATTGGCATTATTTCAAGGTGACTTTTGGTATCATGCACGCTCCATGTTCCTGTTTTGGCCTTGCTAGAATCCTTTCATGCAAGGGTCATCCGGTTTGGTAGGTTTATATATAGTAGTCAAAGTCTTAGTTTCTAATATGGATAAATCTACAGACCATGAAAAGGTGGTCACGAATCTCATTACAAAGACACGCTGGACAACAATGGCCCAACTTCATGCTTCATTTAAATTATTTAAAAAAAAAAATGCAAAACAAATGCAAAAATGGCAAGTTTGTTGAATATTTTGTTGACTTCAAAATAACTATTTGAACGGGTTGGAAGGGATAGAAAATATAAAATGAGAAACAACATCAGTAAAAGTAATATGTTGTATATAATTGTGAAGGCACCCCACCTCAATAGCTAGCTTTTGAGTTTAGAGTTATAATCAAGACAGTGTAAGATGGTATCAAATTGAGAGTACCCAGGGATGGGTACGATGTGTGTCTTTGGCCTGCACGCAGCATGTGTCGTCAAGTCAAATAAGGAGCATGGTAGGAGTGAGGGAGAGTGTGAAGCGATGTCCTGCATACCCTAGGTATGAAAGTGATATGCAATATATAAGTGAGAGGACATCCTCATCGCAATAACTAGCTTTCGAGGTTAAGTTCTACACAAGATCATGTAATAAATACATACTCTCCCCTCTCTAGGATGTTAAAACCTATCATCTACTTCACCCACTAAACCTAACCCACTACACCACTACCACCTCACCTACTCCACTAAACCTAACCCACTACACCACTACCACCTCCACTTTACCTACTCCATCTACCACCTACTACCACCTACTCTTCTATATATAGGAATCATTGTAACATTTAATACATCTATCAATAATACAATCAATATCTATACAATTCTCTATTTCTCTTTATACATTAAATTTTCTACAATTTATATTAACTATTTTAGTTGATGGATAATGATGGTGGGTTTTAAACTTAGTTGCAAGAAGTGGGGGCGGGGCGGGGCCGAAGTAGGGCGAGGGCATATAGAAATTTCTAAGATTGGAAGCACCTATGAGAGCATGTATACATTTTATATATTAAATATATAAATATATTCTAACAATTTATTAGTTGTGTGTTAAAATACAAATAAATATTAGAGATTGATGTCAATTATAAATTGTCTGGGTTGAGTATAAATAAATATTGTGTAAATATAAAGTATTAGAATAAGTTTGAATAGTTTTTCTTTTATTTAAGATTTGTATCTTTGAGAGATACCATTTCAGTTAGGAGCGAGTGGTGTGAGTTACTTGAGAGCACAGAATCAAGTTTTTAAGTAAGAAACATCACCTTAGTAGGAGTTTCCTGCTACTAAGGTTTTAAACTTCAGGTCTTGTGACTTGAATAAAGAGATTAGGGTCGACTTTCGTAGTTGAGGAAAGTGGTTCTTTTGTGTAGTGATTCTTAGGTTGCGGTGTAATGAAGATATTTAAATATAACCTTTGAAGATGGTGCTGGAGTAGATGTAATGGTGGGGATTGTGGAGGTATCGGTATAATGCTGAGATTGGTCACATTGTGGAAGAGGGGTGAGTGTAGAATGTGATGCGACTTTAAAGTGACAAATGGGGACCAAGAGTGATGCAATGACTTTTATTCTTCTTCAGTTCATTGGGTTTAAGTTGATTTAGAGTTTAAGATGGATCTAAAAAAATTCATAAAGAAAAGCTCACAAATTTTTCTTGTTCAGTAGCAACTTCTCAATGAAAGGGGGAAATCTCATGTTTCTAGGCTTATAGCCAATGCATAGGAGAGGTAGGTATAATTTCGTAGCTGTGAGGGGCAGCTTAAGTAAAAAGCTCCTACTTTAAGGGAGATCATTGTAATTTATCCATATTCTTTGAATTTAATAGTCAATGCATTTTAGAGAGCTTGTAACAGCTTCAAGTTTTTTTAGGAATTGGGTAATGCAATTATATCCCTAGGCATGGTGCTTAAGGGATTCCAAGGTTGATTCTTGAGATTTTTTTCTTTTTCATCTTGTCTTGATTTTCTGCAACTTTAATCCTCTAAACCTCATAACCAGATTCCGTTCACCACCCCTTTCATTAACTTAAATTCCTAATTTATGAGCTCATCACATTCTTCTACAGTCATTCAACCATCACTGCAGAAAAAACAGAAAAAAAGAGAAACAAATTCCAAATTTGTCCACGATGAAACGGGTTTTTTTTTTTTTTTTTTTTTTTTCAAATTTGTCCACGATGAAACGGGTTTTTTTTTTTTTTCATTGAGGGGTCTGAATGTATGGATTTAAAGTTGAGAGGGGTAAAACGATATTTGGTGATAGTTGAAGGGGCAAAGTGTAAATAACCCTTGTTTTTTTTCCCTGACTAGTCAGACCAGTCCCTGATTTTTTTTTGATAAACAGAACAGTCCCTGATGTTGATCAATATATATATATGTACATATATTCATTAGCATGAGACTTTACTTCAAAAATATTAATAAATTAAGTTTCATTTCAGAGGACTGAAATCCATGCATAAACTGAAATTTAAAAGTTTCAAATCAAGCAATCCAAACTACTAAATATATAAAAATAAAAAAGCAGATAAAAGTCAGCAATACCTGGTATGCAACATCAAAAAATGGAATATGGTTCTTTTCTTGAATTACATCAGCAATTTTTTCCCATTGTTTTGGGGTTGGATCAATGCCAGTTGGGTTGTGAGCACAGCCATGAAGCAACACAAAAGATCCTTCAGGGGCTGCCTGAGAACACAACATTCAAATATATAGATCGTGGAACCATAAAAGAATGAAATCTAGTTATCTAGTTTACTGGAAAGATAAACAAATTGCTTCTATATATTTTTCCACATCACAACATTACATTTAAGGAACGTAAAGAGCTCACAATTTCAGAGGTATGAGCACCGAAAAGAGATGAATGCACTCTGATCCATGAAGTTGAAAAGTAGTTACAATTTTATGAAAAGAAATAAAAAAGCAAGAAATCTGTCAGCCAATACAAAATCAATTAATTCTATAAGCATTGACATGTTGATGGCGACCTCTTCAAGAAGAAAGATGAGGTGGACTTAAGAAGTACTAATTATCCATTTAAGAATGTTCTGAATACATGATAGCATTAAACAATTAAATAATGGGAGAACTAATTCAAGTTCTACGTTATCAGTTGAAAGAAATAAATGATGGTGTCGAAAATACCTTTATGTCGGATATCATCCCATCAAAATCCAAACCAACTGTTTTTGGATCATAGTAGCGGTATTCAGACCAAGGAACTCTGGCATCGTTGAAAATATTCTTGTGGTTACCTAGAAAATTGATCTTTATTTTCAATTATCAGACCTTTAGACAAATCTTACCAATTAGACTAACAATACTCACCCCAAGTTGGGGATGATATTACAACTTTTGCCCCAGGGAAATATCTTTCAATGAGTGCAGCAGCAAGTCGAAGAGAACCAGTTCCTGAAAGACCTTGAACAGTAGCAACCTACAGAATTTTTTTGTTTAAAAAAATGGTAAGTTAAAAAGGCCCCTTGACTGGATCAGAGAAATTTTAAAATCACGCATACCCTTTGTTGTTCAATTACTGGGTTATCGGCTCCAAATAATAATTCTGCAGTAGCTTTGTTAAATGCAGCCAAACCCTCTATTGGAAGATACTGCAGATGGTAATTTAAAAGATAGTAAGAAATTTAAAAAGGCAAGAACAACTCCACGATATTCTATTTAATTGAGTGCTACACATACAATACCTCTTTGTTTTCGCCTTTTTCCAGCATAAGATTCTCTGCCTAGAATAGTAAATGTTACATGACAATTAGCACTGGAATTCGACCGTCAAGGCACCAGAACAATAGTAGCTTTATGAAACATTTCACCAACTAATTAACAAAAGACAGCTGACCTTTTTTACAACATTAAGAACATAAGGTTGAAGTTCTTCTGTTCGGTAGGCCCCAACTCCGAGGTTGAGTTTCATTTCGTTTGTGTCTGCTTTAAATGCTTCAGAGACTCCAAGAATTGGATCAGGAGGAGCCATTGTTATACCCTCGAAACGAGAAACATTGACTGCAACACTCATAGTTATCTGACCACAGGACTGCAGCTCAGAAATAGCTAAAATTCAGATCTGAGACAAACCGTATCAAATCTGACAGTCCTATCCCCAGTTTATCAAAATCTATAAGGAAGTGAAAGAAGCACCCTGTGAAAAAATAAACAATAAATGCATACAGATTTATAGAAAATTATGTCCTGTTGCCTAAAGGCTTACTTCTTTAGATTGGCAAGTGCTAGAGGTACCTTCAGGAGAGAGAATTTTTTCTTTTCTTATTTTGACAAGTAAGACAAAGGCACCCATGTCCCAGCCCGACTTGAACCTCACACCTCCCCATGGGAGTGGCAAGAAATACAACTCAAGCTGACAGATGCAGGGGAGAGAACATTTGGAACAGAGAGAATGAGAAAGGGGACGATCCCAAGAAAACCAAGCCCACCCACATCACACAAGGACATCAAACCAGTAACTACCAGCAAATGACACTAGGCAATGTGGGCTGCCAACTTTTTGCTACCTCCTGTAGTATATAAAAGCTGAACTCTCCCTTCCCCCTTCCAATTTATGCATAGAACTCTCCTTTCTCCCTTCCAATAGACACATAGATCATAGGACAGTTTAACCAAGGTACGAACCCACAACCAAATAGAATATAGTTGACCTCCCATATACTAATTCAGGAATTTTTTTTTGATATACATCAAAATGAAACCACGCTTGGAATAAATTGTCACTTACAAGCGCAGCTTCGACATCAATCTCCATTTCAACCCAGGAGATATAAGGATGTGGTTATAATTCACAACAATAATATTTCAGTGGGAGAAAGCTCTAACAACAAAAAGGATATTCTATGCCCACTAATCCAATTTCATTTCCACAAGACGTTCTAAGTGATGGGCAAGTACAAAGGGAAAAGGGTCTTAATTAGAACTTTAAATATTTTGTTTCTTAGAAAGATGAATGGGTTTGAGGGAAACACATTACTAAAGATCCAAGAAATTATGAATGATTTTTATGGAAATTATATGTCTTTTGATACAAGTATGAGCACTCCAAATTCTGATACTGCCACTCTTGTTTTAAATTTTTATGACTCCATGTCCTGAAGAAATCACATGACGTGCTAACTGGAAACCAAAAAAATAAACAATAATACACTGAAAAAAATCAATTCAACACTGTAACATCAGTTCATTAATGTATGTAACATCAGTTGTAAGATTGTTAATGTATGTAACATCAGTTGTAGTGCCGGATTGAAGATGGTGATCCACAAAGTGACAGTCACTCTCTATATGTTTGGCGCGCTCATGGAACACTGAATTGTGTGCAATCCAAATGGCATTCTGGTTATCACAGTAAAGAGGAGCGGGAAGAAGAAGAAACTCCCAAGCCAAGAAACCACATAGATGTAGATGCTAAGATGGATGTGTAGTAAGATCAGGAGAGATAGAATAAGATATGAATCGATTTGTGAAATGGAAGGAGTAGCACCCATTGAAGATAAGTTGAGAGAGAATAAATTTAGATGGTTTCATCATATACAACAAATACTGGTAGATGTAGCAGTAAGGAAAAGTTAAATAAATCACTATTAAAGAGAAATGTTTGGGAGAGAGGAAGACCTCAACGGAGGGCTTTTAACATGCAATGCCGTTGCTTTCCCTATAGCACTACTTAAACTAACATGAGATGTTGTAGTAAAAAATATAGGGATTTTTATTGATAAATCCCATTTAGAAATGTTCTAACCCAAGAAATTCATGAAGTAATTTTTTAACCCACTTAGTCCCATGTATTTATACTTTTATTCCATAAAATCATTTTTCTTGATTTACACTATTTTCTTAAGACTCTTATGCTCTTATATTTATATTCATATTTAATGTTGGGGGAAGGAGAGAGAAGGGAAAGGACCAAGGTATAGGAAATTTCATACACAAATTAAATAACATTGATGTTATTATTTTATATTATTACATAATGTGAATATATTTTTAATTGACAACACATTAAAATAATATGAACATTCTCTCTCATCTGATGTGAATATATTTTTAATTGACAACACATTAAAAATAATGTGAACATTCTCTCTTATCTGATGTGAACGTTCACAACACCTTTCCGAAAAATTCTCTCTCATCTAATGTAGTAATGTGAACGTTCACAACATGTGAACCTTCTTATTTTCAATTAATAACACATTAAAAATAACGTTCATTATATTTTTAATTGACAACACATCCTTATTCACAACATGTGAACATTCTCTCTCATCTAATGTAGTGATATGAATGTTCACATTCCTATGTTTTAGTATGAATATTCACGTCACGTAATTGACAACACAATGACAAAAATTCATTTCAAATTAATGTGAATATAATGATGTGAATATTCATTTCAATTACATGCTGTGAATATTCGCATCATGTAATTGACAACACAGTGATAAAAATTCATTTCAAATTAATATGAATATAATGGCAGTCAACATCCTGATGCATGGGAATTACCAAAACATAATGACAATAATATCAACATTAATAGGGTGCAGGAGAGATTGAGGGTGTTTTGGTCTTCTTATCTCAAATAGGATCTAATGGAATAGTGAAAAAGAATATGGGTTGGACGGAATAAAACTCTTAGAAAGAGGACTTATCAAAAAAGCTCCCATATATATATATATATATTTTATTTTATTTAATTGAACAATATAGCTCTTGTTAAAGTGGAGTGGTAAAAAATGATTCATGGAACCAAGCTTAATTGATTGGGACACAAGGTTTGTTCGGTTTGGTAAAGTTAATTCCTTTTAGAATCCTAGACAGATTAATTCTATCATTATCTTCTTACCCATAGCATAACTAAGAAATACATTATTGCAGAAAATGAAAGTGTCAGCTCAGTGTTGTTGGGAGAGTAGCATAGCAAAAGGAAAATGTAATGAATAATGATAGTTGGCATTAGTAAGCAGCCCAAATTCTGTAACTGTGAGCTGTGACTGGTCACCCAAATATGAGAGCACCTACATATGTGGAGAAGCCATGAAAATTGTCTGATTTCACCAATAACATAGATCCCTTCCAAAAAAAAAAAAAACCAATAACATAGATTCTATGATTAAAACACACTAACTGACGAATGAGTCACCATTAACAAAGCAAAATCCAAAGTATTGCACAAATCAGGAACACTGCTGTTTACCTGTCAAAGCTTCTCACCAACCTTAATAGCTGTTAGAGAGATTTTAAGCATAAAAAGACTATAAGTTTCAAATAAAATAAGATAAATATGTTCATTTGGTAAACCTGAGCTACAAAGTAAAAACACCAATAACCTAGAAAACTAGATAACTAACAGAGAACAACACAAAGATCATTAAACAACTAGAGAATTAAGATTTAAACCATAAAATCATATTTACCAAAGAAATTGGGTGGGTATAGGGCATATAACAAAAGAGTTTCCATTTCTATCGGTCATAAAATTAAAACAAAAAAAAAGAAAGAAAAAGCAGTCAGGAACAGTTTTATTCTCTAAACAAGCAGGTTTTGGGTTATATTTTTAGCGCTCTAATTCTCTTGTTGGCTTTGAGACCATGAAATAAAATAGAGAAAAAGACCTTCAAGAGAAAAAAGAAAGAAAACCATTTTCAAGAGACAAACTCCAGTGAACCACTTTCCTCCTCTCTTCTTTTCTTCATTTCAATTTGAAAAAAGTTAAAAAAATAAAAAACAAAAAAAGAATCTAACGATCTAGCCTAATTGAAGACTTTCAACGCTCATGCTATTTGAAAGAGCTTTCAACATGGAGTAGAGACTCCATACGTACACAAAGATTAACTGATCTATGAATATCATCCTAGTTCAAGTCTTGTTCCGCACTTAAATGGATAACTCAAACCCTTACCTTGACCAGTTTGTAGTGGAAAACCGGATTCCTTACTTGAACCTAACCCTGATCGCTAAGCTAACATGGGGAGAGTGCTTTCTCCCGGATGGCTAATAAAAGAAGAATATTCCAGCTCCAAAAGGGAGGGATTTTTAGACAGAAAGAAGAGATTAACGAAAAATAATGAAAAGCAGTGATACGTACAGGTTTTTATTCCAGTGGAACTATTGACCGAAGAGCCTTACTACTAGAGCTTATAAGCTATCAGAAAAGCTCAGCTCCTACTATAAGCTTGATGAAGAGCTACAATAACCAAGAGAGGGATTACAACCCTTTCCGAAAGACTGCTCGAATGGACAGACTCATTAAGAGAAGTGCGGCCTCAGCACCGCAACTATCAACTGGGCTAACTGCGCCACCCCCCCCCCCCCCCCCCAATGGCGGTTGACTCCCATTTCCCGATATAGGATCGAATTTCTAGTGATTAGAACAGAACAATTAAATCAAGACAGCACAATTTGCATAATTATGATACAAAATGATATAAGATGTAATGAAACATGAAAGAGTCCATAGTTACCTTAGTCTTTGTGAAGGGATTGCTTTTCTCCTTCAAGAAAGTAGCATGATCAGAGCCTCCCAGCTTCAATTTTGTCTGTTCAAATAGAATGTCATGATTTATACATCTTGACTCTTCTTTTCCCATTTTTTTTTAAAGCGATTTTTTGACTTTTTACGAACAGGCGTGCAAAACATAGACAAAATGGATTAACTTTTTGTAATTTAGGGTGTTCCCAAACATAGCCTTAGGCCTTGTTTGGCAAGTGCTTATTTTAGCCTAAAAGTCGTCAAAAAGCCAACAACTTATATCAAAAAGTCAAAGATTCTCTTTTCTCTCTATTTTTTACACAATATTTTTTTGTAAAAAGTCAAAAAGTCATTCCAAATATACTAATTTTTTTTACCTTATATTTTAACTAAAAGGTCAAAAAGTTATTAAAATAGCTTGGTCCCAAACGATTAATGTTAATGTTCTAGTTCAGTTGCTGAGGAGAGGACAGAAAAGAAAGTGATGCTTAAAAATTTAGATAAGCTTCACAATTGTGACCCAATAGAACAGAAGGGCTCCATTGAAGTAAAGCTAATACAAACTTAAATAGATAGATTTTTTTTTTATACTTAATCTTCAGCTTCTCAGCAACCAATATTGGGAAAATGAAAAGAAAATCACACAAAATTGAAAAAAAATTGAAAAATTAACGAGTGGATAGAGATGTGAATGGTACCTTGCCATTATCTTGGAGTGAAAGTGAAGCTGAAGCTGAGGCAGATGCAGAGGCGAGAGCGAGCATCGTCGAAGCCATCAATTTGAAATGGCAGAACAATCAAGCAGTGATCTTGGAGAGAAGTGAAACTTGTTGAGTCTGAATTCGAATCGATAATTGCTATAATCAGTCTAGATTGAGCAACTACTGTTGAATTGTTTTCTCATACATGCGTGCGTATCTTCCCTAATTTAATTAGATCTGGCAGGAGAGAGAGAGAGTGTGTGTGAATGGAACGAGGCGATAAAACCAATGCTTCAGCTTGTATTTCAGGTTCCTTTCCGAAGTACCAAAAAAAAAAAAAAAAAAAAAAATTCTTGTTTCAGGTGTTTCTGTTTGTCTATTCACTCTGTGCCGCGATGTCAAATTGGTTGATAACCGTATGATCTTTTTTTTTATTTTTTATTTTTTTTCAAACAATAACAATTATAAAATCAAGAGTTATTACCCATCCAAAAAAAAATCAAGAGTTATTTACGTAGACGGTTTCCAATGGCTTGTTTGGTTTGTGTTTTTTAAAAAATTTTAGAAAATTTTTTTTACAAATAAATCGTAGACGGTTTCCAATGGCTTGTTTGGTTTGTGTTTCCCAAAAAATTTTAATTTTTTTTTTTTTATAAATAAGTTTTTAAAAGTAGTTAAATTAAATAATTTTTTTCAAAATTTTTTTCTAAAACTTGTTTGATTTACAAGTTTTTCAAATAAATCTCTTTCTCATACACATCAAATCAATCACTTTTTTTAAAATTCTCTCTCAAAATAATTTTTTAAAACATCTTTTGAAAAAAAAGCAAACCAAATAAACTTTCATACTTTTTATCTCAAAACATGTTTCTCAAATTCAAACCAAACAAGTTCCAAATTTTTATTTAAAAATATCGTTTTGAATTTTTTAATTATTAAAATATATTGTCAAGATTTTTGTGATCGTGTGATATGTAACTGTGCATTAGAATGTAATGAGCGGCAGATCTGTGTTTCGAATTAAATTATAATCCATTTTTACTAATATTAGGGTTGGTTTGGGATGTCCTAAAAAAGTGTATTTTTTGACTTATTGGTGGGTTTGGATTGGGTTTGGGTTGGGTTTGATGTGATGTGTTAGAGAGGTGATGTGATTTAAATAAGATGATGTGACTTAAATAAGATAGTGCCTTTTTGACTTTTTGGCTTATTTAGTACATGCCAAACTAGCCCTAACATTCTATCTTTAATAAAAAAAAAATAAAAAAAAAATTATTAAAATGTATCATTTTACTCTCTTAAAATATAAAAGCGTATATCATTTTATTAATATCACCATTGTTACCATCATCTCTACTACTATATCACTATTATTACAACCACCACTACTCCACCACAACAACACCCCCTTCGTCTCTACTTTAATCGTGCAACTACTACCACTAAATATAAAAAAATATTTTTTATCAAAATAAACAGAACGTAAAGGGTGTGTTTGGTAATGTTTACGTTTTCAATTTATATTTACAAAAATTTTATAAACTAGTTTTTGTTTATTTTTAGAAAAAGATAAACTACAAACGCGTTTGGTAATTGACAAAATGTTTAAAAAATTTTAAAAATATAAAAAAGAGTGAGAAATAGCAAGTGGTGGCAAGTGGTGGCGGAAGACGGTAGTGGAAAGTGGTGACGGTGGGTAGTGGGTAGCGGGTAGTGGTAGGTGGTGGTAGTGGGTGGGTGGATGACGGTGGCGGGTGGTGGGTGGTAGTGAGTGAGTGGTGGTGGTGGTGGTGGCGGGTGGTAGGTGGTGGTAGACCTGTAAGGTAGAAGAAGATCGACGGTGCAAATAGTGATACCTACATAGAAGAAAAAGATGTTTAAGACTATAAGTCGCAAGAAATGTAAGAATATGGATACCCAACAAAGTAGGCACAAGTCCAGTGACATGCCACCGATGGTGTGGCCACCACCAACCTTGTGCGTAGGTGGTGTTTTATGCGGTGTCTGTAGCATTCTTTGACAAAACAATGATACTTAAACGAGGGAATAAGGAGGGAACTTACACTCCATGAATGAGTTGAATCAAGAAGATAACCGGTGAGAGCAACACCTACAATTCCTGGTACAGCCCCCACTGTATTGGTAATACCCTGAGTGGACAAATTTAAGAGAAAAAAAACCATATAAACCCTTAACAAAAAAGCATTGACTGCAATTTTCTTCGACAAGACAGACAAGAAAGGTATATAACATTTTTTTATCTTTTATTTGGATTGGAACATAATACTCATGCCAATCTGACCCTACCTCACCACCTGAACCAAGGAATAAAGGTACCATCATGCATTTGTCACGACTGTTTTTCACCCACACCACTAGATGGTTGGCGACCACTTTGTATTTAAACTGCTGGAAATTAGATCGGATCCAACTCGATCGATAACCAATGGAATGTCCCCATGGGTTATCTGATAAAACTATGTATTTGAATCCTAATATGGGAGGAGCCGTAAAAACTCTGTTTTAAAAAAAAAAAACTGAAAACTCAAAATGGAAACACATTTTTTGTGTTTTCATTTTTTGGCCAAATTTATAAACTGAGACCACTGATTTATAAATCAAAAATTTTACCAAACAAGTTTTTATTTGAGTTTTTAAAATTTTTGTAAATATAAATAGAAAACTGAAAACGTAAGTGTTATCAAACGACACCAAAGTGTGTTTCATCTTCTGAATCTAATCTTTTTTTTTTTAAATATTTTTTTTCTTCTAAAAAAATAATAAATAAATACAATAGACAATTTGCTACCTTTCCGGGCGCCGCTAGCTTATTACAAGTGGTGTCCCTTGAACCGACTGGAAGATTGAAAAAAAAAAAAAAATACTATATGAGTAAAATATTTGGATAATTATCAAAATAAATGCAATTAAAATTTTTATGAGTTTTGGGCCAAAGTGCAAATAGAAAAATTTTTTACCATGTGGGAAGTGTGGTATGCTATGTAGTAAATCACATGGTGTAATGTATAATAGTGAATAGTGAAGGTTTTATCACCTATAAATACGTGAGTTTGCATGGTAATGAAGATATAGAAAAATTATGTATCACATGTGTGATCCTTTATTTCCTCTTCCATTGTGACTATTTCTTCTTTACTTTCTTTAGTTTTATAATACGGTACGAGATTCTAGCCAACTAAGAATACAAAGTTACTAAGTGGTTGTAGTAAATAAATTTTAAAACTAATTATATATATTTTTTAGTATACTTACGTGATACTAAATATATTGTTTTGTTAAATTTAGTAAACATGTCAAATCTTTCAACATTGGAATTCTCAGCTCTTGACATTCCTGGAAAAAATTATTTGTTATGGATTCTTGATGTTGAGATCCACCTTGAGGCAACGAATCTTGAAGATACCATAAAATATGAAAATGAAGCATCCCTGCAGGATCGCACAAAGGCAGTGATATTCATTCGCCATCATTCCAAGAAGAATTAAAAATTGAGTACCTCACGGTAAAAGATCTACTAATTTTGTAGAATAATTTGAAGGAGAGATATGAGCACTAGAAGACCGTAATCCTTTCAAGAGCCCATTATGATTGGTTGCACCTAAGGTTGCAAGATTATAAATCAGTTAGTGAGTACAACTTTGTTTTATTCAAAATAATATCTTGATTAAAATTATGTGAAGAAAAAATTACTAAAAAAGATATGCTTGAAAAAACATTCTCTACATTTCACATTGATAATGTGCTCCTGCAGCATCAATATAAAGATCGTTGTTTTTTAAAGTATTATGAACTGATTTCATCCCTTATTGTGGCTGAACAAACTAATCAATTATTATTAAGAAATCATCTATCACATCCAACTGGTTTTGCTCCATTCCCTGAAGTGAATGAGGTTGCAGTTCATGGTCGTGGATAAGGGAAAGGTCATGGTTTTGCACGTGACCGAAGTAGAAATAATTACCGAATCCATGGGGGATATATTTAGAAAAATACCATGCCATTCCACCAAAAATAGAATAACATGTCATTCCACTAGAAGTGGAATAATTTTGGAATATCACAAGAAAAAGGAAAAAGTTTACAGAATAAACCTTTTAAGAATCGTGAAATGCTTGTTACAGATGTGGTATGAAAGAACATTGGTCACATACCCGTTGTACGCCCAAACATTTGGTTGATCTTTATCCAGCCTTGAAAAAAGAAAAAGGAAAAGGAATTAAGATGCATTTCACAGATCATTATGAATCCATTGATATTAATCATCTTGATGTTTCCGATTTCTTTGAAGATTTTGAAGGAAAAATTGGTCATTTAATTGATGATGGAAATGTTCACACTGATTAACTTAATTTTCTAGATATCATGATGTATTGTTGTATGTTAATTATGATTTTAAAGTTTGTATTTTTAGGTTTAATAGTTTATATTTTCTTGGTTTAAGTTTTGAGAATAATGAATTTCAATTTTTTTTTTGTTTTGTATAGGCATGTCTTTCATTGATACATTGACTAATTCAAACATGATTGGTGATTATATTTGTTTAATGGACAGTGCAACCACATACACAATTTTACGTAATGCAAAATATTTCATACAATTAGTCATGAGAAAAGCTAATATCAATACAATTTTAGGTTTTGCAAACCTAATTAAGGGCTCCAGAAGAGTCAATATTATGTTATCAAATTGAACAAAAATTTGAATACTACCAGATCCAAAAAAAATCTATTAAGTTTCAAAGATATACGTCATAATAGTTATCATATTGAAACTATAAATAAAGATTAGGAAGAATATTTATCGATCACTTTAACTAATTCTGGCCAGAAGCTGGTAGTAGAAACACTTCCTGCATTTTCATCTGGATTATATTATACGATAATAAAAATGATTGAGTCACATATTGTCATGCACCAAAAGTGTTCTGACCCAAAAACGTTTATGCTATGACATAACCGACTCAGGCATCCAGGATCTATAATGATATGTCGAATAATTAAAAATTCACATCGACATCCATTAAAGAACTAGAAGATTCTTTTACCAAGTGATTATCCATGTTCTTCCTATTTACAAGGGAAACTAATTACCAGACTATCACCCACAAAAGTAATTGTTGAATCTCCATTATTTTTCAAAGAATTCAGAGGAATATATATGGATCCATACACTCTTCTTGTGGTTCATTTCGTTATTTTATGGTTTTAATAGATGCATCAAGTAGATGGTCACATGTTTGTTTACTTTCTACACGTAATGTTGCATTTGCCAGACTTCTAGCTCAAATAATTAAATTGTGAGCACATTTTC